CTGTGTATATATAATTATGTTTTACCAATGCACACAGGGACAAAAACCTCAATATTTGGGGATATAAGCTTGAGGAGATCATGCAAACTCCATGCAACCCACAGTCCAAACTGAGGATATTATCCAGGTGCTTCTTGCTGTGAGGCAAAAGTGCTGTACACTTATCCACCATGCTGCCAAATGACAATCATGGCATTTGAGGGAAAAAGGGGGAAGTTTGTAACCCTAAGAACACCATCCCAACTGGGTCATACAATAGTGTCAGTGTATATAAATATTTAGTTTAATCTGTATTAAAACATATGTAACATGCATGAAGGATTCAAACCATGTGTTTCATTCAGCCATTTAGCAGGTTTGCTCACATTTTGTGAATTGACATTCATGACAGGACAAATGTTAAATGTAGAATTTTGCAGTTAATACTACCAGATATCACTGTTTTCTACCCACTGCACCTTTTAGTGTTCCCAGCAGAGAGACAACAGATGAAAATAATAATTAATTTATTCCAATAATTGTTCCTGCGAGCTGTGGCAGTGGACCAGCATGCACAGAAGCTGAATTTCCCCTGGGTGGAATTCTGCTATTGTTATTAGACTACAAACAGGAATGACAATTCAACAATAACAGAAGGTTTGGATGTGGTTTTGAACATTTGTTTAGGTAGCTCATTTAGCCTAAAAAATCCTCATAATCTTATCATCACCCAGCACCAGACAGTCTATTTATAATTTGGCTCCAAAGTGAGCCAGGGTAATGAAAGATTTCATGGAAAAACATAAAATAAAGGGATACTGCAGTCAAACCTCCAAAACTAACATTTGTGTACTGCTGTCTTTGCAAAATGAGTATTTTTATGCTGCACATATAAACTCTTCATCTTAATGATCTTTATTAAGAGGTTTGTGATGTAAAGCTTCTTTTTTTCTGGGAAAATTTTGTTGTTGTTTTGTAAGCAGCTTGCAGATGGTATGGATTAGCTGTCACTCTGCCTGTCTTTTCTTTTTTTTCATCCCATCTTTCCCGCTCAGAAACACTAACTCATACACCTCTGTCCTTCATCCCGCCACATCGGCCCTCTGGCTCAGCTCGCCAGTGTGGCTTATAGCTCTCTCATGGCTATCATGATCTAACACAAACAACATTTGTCAGCTCATTTATCACTGTCTCCCCCCTCCCACACACACATACAACCCCGGCTGTCCACCCTCGTCTATTCATCTATGCTCTGTTTCTGCATTCTTGCCTCCAGCATGAAAATACCCCCCCCCCCCCACACACACACACACAAACTTACACACACAAAAAAACCCTTGATGATATTTGTGCAAATCTGCAAATGCCAGTGCAGATAAGTGAGTGACTTGCCAACACCCACTGTGCTTGTTGGGAACAAGATAGTTTTCATGCATTTTGTATAAAAAAAACAACAAAAAAAACCCCAAAACAAACAAAAAATTTTAAATAAATTAATAAAAAAATATCGACTAATACTTATTTTTAGGGGGACTTTAGCACATGATCAAATTGAATCAGTTTGCATTGCTGACTGAAGTTACCTGCATTAACAAGGTGCATAAAAGCTTTAATAAGTCAATGTCTACAATATATCCAGGTTAAGTTAGGGGATTGGTTTCTGGGGTAAAAGAATGATGAGGCTGACTTTGAGGCTTTTTCTGTTATCTCACAGCTCAGTTTGAATCTGTTGAGTCCAAACCTCACAGCCGGATGGCCTCTGCCATCCTGAAAATGATGAAGCAGTGGTATTTAACCAGCTGCATAAGAACAACAAGTTGAACAAAATCTGATCCAAGTACTGCTGTCTGAACAGGTTTAAAAATGAAATATTGAGCAGATATGCTGCAGAAGGGGGGGGGGGGTAAAGGAGAACTTAAAAGCTGGAAAAGTTGACATGGATATATGAGTTAAAGGTTTTATGCTGTATGTCATCCATGCGGTGGGGAGTTTAAAGCTCTAGAAAGTTTAAAGCAGATATTATATTTAGTTCTAAATGCCACACTCTGATTTTGCTTAATTTTGAGCTTAAAATGTCGACATTTTAGGCAGTTGATAACATTCACAGAAAATTCCCTAGGTACATTATTATAATGTTCAGTTTTTTTTAACATTTGGTGATGGCAGCAAAAGGCAAAGATTGGGCCTCATGCAAGAACCGTTCGTACGCACAGATTTGTTCTTAAGTTGTGCGTACGAGTGATTTAGGAGAATTTGTGACATTCACCAATGTTTTCGTATTCTAAGATTTTTTTTCAGATACGAACAAAATTTACGAGTGGTCCAGACCTGTCGTATATTTTACGAGCAGTCAGTCTGCTGTTATCCAGACGGGTTTTCYTCCCTAATAACTTTATATTTCGTTAGTTTTTGAAGATATTTTGAGTTGAAAATAAATCACACTCCATAATTATGTTGACAATAGGCTATTCTGCTTGAATTAGAGTTATTATTTTAAATGTAATAATTTAGACTAGCAATATAAATTGTCCGTTCGTCCGTTTTCCGCCGCTTATCCGGGATCGGGTCTCGGTGGCAGCAGCAGAGAGACCCCGCTCTCCCCATGCAGCGACACCTTCCAGTTCGTCCTGGGGGACTCAAGACGTTCCCAGGCCAGAGAGGATATATGATCAAGTCCTGGATTTTCTCCAAAGTGCCAGACTTATTTTGAAAACATTTTAAAATGCTTATTTCAGACCCGCATCTGAGACCACCTGCGCCGCGCAGCGCGCTGGGGGGGCGGCACGGTGCGCAGCGCTGTGGCTTCTGAATAAATGAAAATGATTTAACACAGTTGTTTATACTTTTAGCAGCTCTTTTTATCCCACAGCTGAGCTGCTAAAAATGAGAGATTTTCTTTTCTGGATTTCTGACAGACGGACTTCAATCTCTGAACTCGTAAAGTTTTTATTTTTTCAGTTTACGCTGTCATTTTTCATGAATGAACACTTGTATCTGAGGCAGGAATCATAGCCTTATATGGTGTTTTTGGGGTGGTAATTATGCTAATCTCCTCTCGCGTGCACGAGCAGCTGGATACGAACAGGTGGAATTTACGCAGCTCATTTACGCACTTTTCCTGAAGATAGAAGAGTTTGTTGAATCTGACGTGACATGTTCGTACGAACCCTTTGTACGAACAAAAGTAAGAGAAATTTAGTAAAAGAATACGAACATGTTCTTGCATGAGGCCCATTGTTTCTAAAACAGGACATGTACAGATGTCAGTGGGAGACCATTACAAAAACTGGTAAGCATGATGGTGTTAGCATCCTATGGTGGTACTAGTGCACTTTGCAAAGTGGATGGAATAATGAAGACGGAGAACTACGTATGTACCCACAAATTCTTCATCTTAACCTGAGATCAACAGCTAGACAGCAGAAACAAACATAACTGGGTGTTCTAAGAGGGCAATGACCTCCAACTTAACTTAAACATTACTGTATTCTCTGGACAATAAGTCACACTTTTTTCATAGTTTGGCTGGTCCTAGAACTTAAAGTCTGATGTGACTTATCTATAGTATTTCCCTTTTCATGACACATTGTTTGACTGATTTGTTTACTTTATACTGATTGACAGAACCAAAGCGTAAACTTTACCATCTCCAGCCATAAGAGAACACTTTAGTCTTGTGTAAACTATATGTTGTTCCTGTACTGGTTAAAAAATGAAGTGAAGCATTAACTTAAAGACAACCAAGATATGTACTCAAAATGCCATCAAAAAGAAAACCCTATTCCGCAGATTAAAAAATTAGCAGCAGAAAGAAACTTTGGAGTGAATGAGAAACTTGTGAGAAACTAGCAAAAAGCAGAGGTTACTCTGACGGCAATGAAGAAAACAAAGAAAGCTAATAGCGGGCTGAAAGCAAGATGGCCAGAGCTGTAGGAACGAGTCCATGGATGGGTGATTGAACAAGGTGCTGCAGGGAGAGGCTTGTCAATGGTGCAGTTATGTCTCCACGCCCTGGTAGTTGCCAAGGAGATGAATATAAATGACTTTGCAGGAGGGACTTTTTCTCTGTTTTCTCTATCAGCAGACTTCCAAGCCAAGGTTGACAGTTACTGTGAGTTTGTTGGAAAGCAGGTAACTGAACACAACATGGCACCGCATCATATCACCAACATGGATGAGACCTCCCTCAGGGTTGACATCCGCATGGGCCAAAGTGTTGCAGGGAAAGGGCAGAAAATACAGTGACAATTGGTCAGGAGAAATTACACTTCACAGTGGTGCTAGTATGTTGTAGAAAGGGATCAAAATTGCCACCAGTGGTAATTTTCAAACATAAAACTATGCCAAAATACAAATTCCCCCCTGACACAGTTGTTGCTATGCAACTTTCCAACAAATTATTTGATGGATTGACAAAGTATGGACTTCTGTGACAAGTGAAACCATTCTGTCAGGATTCAGAAATTCATAATAACTGTAAAAAATAACAACCCTGCAGAAAAGGAAATGGCGCTTCATCTTTCTCTGGAGTTATCGGAGTGGTTCAGAAGCGACAACATAAACAGTGAACTAAACAAGCATTTTAGATAATTATTTAATCTGCTCTGATTGCACAATTTTAGAATCAACATGCTATCATGTAGCATTCATATTTACTTCTGTAAACAGCAAGCAGAATTTGACGTCACGTCTTCATCAGCCAGTGTTACATCGATGGCATACAGCATTTGCACTGGAGTTTAAAGAGGGTCACTTTTAAAATATATGAGTGTCCAAGTTAAAAAAAAATTGGTATCAGGGCATTTTGAACAGGTACAAGTATTTGTAAAAATGTATCAGTCCCAATACAAGTATTGGGACACCACTACTCTAAATTTGAGAATGTTGCGGTGTTGTGCTGCTGACCTCTTCTGCAGCTCCTGAGTGGTGTGGGCCTCCTTCTTCTCACCTGTTGGTGATTGGGCTTACATACTAAAGCTCCTGGGTGTGATCAATTCCTCGGTGGAACTTTCTGTGCCTTTGGTTTGCCTAAGCCTACTTGGTTGAATGCTCACCTGGTTCCCCTTGGACTCCTTCATTGGACTGCCTCTTGTGCGGACTGTTTATCCACCTGGAGCTCCTCATCAGCCGTCCTCCGCCCAGCCACTCCTGTCCCAAGCCAGCCTTTTCGTTGATCCATGTAAAAAGAAAACT